TTATATTTTTATATAAAATTATTTTTATTTAAAATATTTATCCTTAAAATTATGTCATTTTTTTATTTATATTGCAATAATAGGCCCATACTCCACTTTTGACTACACGTTTGTTGCTTAAGTCTTTTGATACGATCATTTGTTCTCCAAAATTCCCTTTGTACCGCACTAACTCTCTCTCTCTCTCTCACTCTGACTTAAATGTAAATATTTCTTCTAAACCTCAGTTAAAGTTTGTGTCTTAAGTTTTTCATAGATAGCCCTTTATTAATTTGTTATATATTTCCTTCCCCCTCTCACTCCCTGGCACTCGGTCATAAATGTTAATAGTTCCCCTAAATCTTATCCTTAGGTTAAGGTTTGTATATTAAGTCTTTTGTCATTTTTTTTTATTAATTTGTTTATTTAAGCAATACCCATTTTTAATTACATTTCATTAATATTTTATAGTTCAATTTCTTCAAGTTTGTGTTCTAAGTCTTTCTCTGGTTGCTGCAACATTCCCTCTCATTTGTTTTACCAATGAGAGCTTTCTTGGACTCTCTTTGCCATAAATACCAATGCTGCTCTTTATGTTAAAATAATGTTTTTGTCTTAAGTCTTTTGAGATTTATTTGAGGAAATGTTTTAATTTTAATGAATTTAATTACAAAAAGGGCACGTTAATTGCAAAAAAATGTTTTTACGGATTATTTTATTTTTTTTAATTTTTGGAGACAGAAAAAGAGTAATATAAACAAATTAAAATAATAATAATAATAAATTAAAATAAATAAATAAAAAATATAAAAATAAAAAATAATAAATTAAAATATTTTAATAAAAAATATATGCTAAATAAATAAATAATAAATTATAAAAATAAAATAAATTAAGTTTTTTTCCTTTTATTTCGTTCGCAAAAAAGTCCAACATTTTAGATATTTTTTATATCATTAAATTATCCCTTTTTTCTCTTCATATTTTATTTCATTTATCTACCAGTGATGGAAACAGTAAAGAATACTGTTTCAACTAAATTTGAATATTTTCAATTAAAATTCAAACATATTTTTATCTGTTCCCATTACAAATAAAAATTGCAAAATTCCCGTGAGCCACTGTTTTGTTTATATTTTGCATTATTGTTATTATTTTATTTTTATTGTTGTTGCTTTTTGCCTCAAACCTGACATGATATGGCAAAAAGTTATTCCAAGTCAAAGTCAAGGTTTCAAATAAAATAGCAACAACAACAACACGAAGCAGTTTGAGCTTTACGTTTATAAAAAAAAGTAAAATGTGATTTTTATAACGTGATATGGCTATTGTTGTTGCTGTTGTTTTAGACAAAACGTAATTTGCACAGAAAAAAAACGAAACAAATAAAACCTGTTTTCTAATTCTATATAGACAATGTTTAACAAAAAAAAAAAAAAAAAAAAAAAAACGGCAGCAACAACAAAAACAACATTTATAAACAAACAATCCAGCAACAACGTTTTTTTAAATGAGAGAAAGATGTGTTCTCTCCTCTCTCTACTGCCATCAATGATGCTTTTGTGACTTGTCGATGATTAAACTAAATGAATGGGCCGAAATACAAAATGTATTCCCTCAATATATTTAACGAAAGTAAAAAGCACACATGGTTACTGGTTTTCGTTGAACAAAAAACAATTATCGGTTTTTGTGTGAAGAGGAAGTGTGGGGTAGGGTTGTGTGTGTTTTTTTTTAGTTTTATTTTTTGTGGAAACATAATTAATCTTCTTTATTTCTGTTTTTGGTGGTATCTCATTACTTTTTTGGTTATTTTTAGTTTGAAAATCTTATGTAATATTTGTGAATCTTTAGAATTTGACATGTGCGGATGAGTCAAACCTAAGGAGATTTATTTTTAAATTTTAAGTTGTTTTCTTTGATTTTTTTTATAAAAAAGACTAAAATATGAATATATGATGACAAATTGTAGTTTGATTAATTATTTCATTTTGTTTTGCAATGGAAGAAATTTAATTTTTAAAATATTGTTTAAATTTGGATTTTTTAAGCAAAAAAAAAAAAAAAATAATAAATAATAATAAAAATAATAAAATAATATAATATTATTAAAAACTAAAAAATAAATATTTATTTATTGTATATTTTTTAACATTAATTTCTTCTTTTTCCAAATATTTTTTTTTAAATTTTTCTCCATATAAAATTTTTATTAAAATATATATATATATACATATATATATATATATATATATATATATATATATATATATATATATATATATATATATATATATATATATATATATATATATATATATATATATATATATAATTTAAAAAATTTATTTTGAAATACAACTGTGGTTTAATTCTCTTTAAAGTGTTTGCAACTCCAAGGATATCCTTATCACCCATACTCTAAATTAACATCGAATTTTAGAAGCCATTATATAAATATTATGACCAAAGTCTTGGGATTTGTTTTTTTTTAATATTAAATTTATTTTCATTACTTTTAATTTAAAAAAAAAATATATATATAAGTACTCTTTAAAATGTAATAGGTTTCAAAATATTCTCCCATTCAAATGGGAATGTGCTTCCTAAGACTGTTCATAGTTTCTGTGTCGAAATCTCCCATTGCCTCTTTCAAGCATAAAAGTCTTTTAAAAAAGTATGCTTCTTAAGTCAGTTGATTTTGCCAGCTTGAAACTTTAAATATTTAATTTGATTTTTTTTATTTTAATTAATTTTGAATGAAAAATATTTCTCATTTCAAATTAAGCATTTTTTTATTTGATTCAATTCCCAATTATGGGCCTATTTTCCAAATGACTTCAAGTTTGTTATTTAAGTCTTTTGTTAAAGTAATTTGTGACGCTTAAATGTTCTCGAAAATTCTCTCCATGTCGTACTCACTCTCGCACTTCTTTGATTTAAATGTAAATATTTCTCCTTACTCTCATCCTCAAGTTAACGTTTGTGTTTTAAGTCTTTTGTCTTTATCTCCCTTTTCAATTTTTTTTATTAATTATTATTTGTTTATTTAAGCAATAAAAATATTTAATAACATATTAATTATTTGTTTGCCAAATTCCTTCAAGTTTGTGTTCTAAGTCTATCTCTGTTTTCTGTAACATTCTCTCTCAGTTCTTTTGCCAATGAGAGCTTTCTGGAACTCTTTGCCATAAATACCAATGCCGCTCTTTATGTTGAACTCATGTTTGTGTCTTAAGTCTTTTGTGATTTCTTTAAAGAAATGTTTTAATTTTTAATAAAATTAATTACAGAGAGGGCTCCTTAATTGCAAAAACTGATTTTTAGGGAATTATTTATTTTTTTACAAATTTTTAGAGATAAAAAATCAATTGTGTAAAAATATAAATACAAACAAAAAATGAAAAAAAAAAAATATTAAAAAAGAGTAAAATAAATAAATTAATTTAAAAATATAAAAAATAATAAAATAAAAAAATTCAATTTTTATTTGTTTTATTTAAAGGGAACCTTTTCATTCTTGAGAATTTCTGGCGCCAAACATTCTTTCTTAGATTTTTCTTTTAATTTCATTTAATGGAACTTTTTCATTTTTAAGAAATTCCGGCGCAAAATATATTTCTTCAATATCAAGAAATTCAAAAACAAGACTACCAAAATTATAATTTTAAGTAAAGTGTTCGTTATTTATTTATTTTTTTTAATATAAAAAAATTAAATAACATAATCTAAGGCTGACTTACAGTCATTCATGTCCAATAAATTTTGCACCACTTAATTTTTTTTATTTAATAACCAATAAGACTGAGCTTTAGTCATCCTGTGACGACCATGTGAAAGCCATAATATATTGGAAAGCCCTCTTTTGAAATAATCCCTTAAAGTTCTGAAAAATGTTACCTATGCTAGACAGCTGGCCTGTTCTGAAATTTACCCTCATGCAAAATTTTAAGTCTATTGGTCGATTTAATTGTGACCTGTAGAGTGCATGTAAAATTAGGAAAATTTTCAGATTTTGGTCCATTTCAATCCCTAAATATTTTGCGATCATTACCAAAAGCAAACGGCTTCTATTCTGAGCATAACCCTACCTCCATGCAAAATTTCACGGGGATCGGACCATAATTGCCACCTGTAGTGTGATTAGAAATTGAAACGGATATACGGACGGATAGACTCGGCTCGGGGAATTAGGAAGATTCAAGACCAATATTTCAAAGTGTTATTAACTTTTTGGCCCATTCAAACTGATAAAACCCCCACCAAAGTCAAGCTAAGCAAAGCTAAGTTCAGTTCTTAAAAATATTAGAAAATGCTTCAAACTCAATTCCCCTATAACGTTTGTATCTTAAGTCTTTCGTTTATAAATATTTTTTATTCACCAAAAAATTAGTTAGGCTTCTCTTCAAAAAAAAAAAAAAAAATGGTCAATTATTTGTTTAAAAATCAAACTCTTCTCAGCATCTACAGCATAAATAGTGTAACGCGTTTTGCATTAATTATTATTTATTTTAAAAATATTTGCATTTTTTTTTAAATGTTTTCCTTTCTAATTCTTGAACTTTCTCAAGAACTTTCCTGTCTTAAGTCTTAAAAAAAAAATAAAATAAAAACAAATAAATAAAAAAAAATAAAAAAAGAATGAAAATGGTAATAATTATTTGTTTAGAATCTAATGGCATAAATAATGTAAGTTATTTTATTTATAATTTATTTTAAAAATATTTGAAATTTTTGAAAATTGTTTTTATTCCCTTTTTTTAATTTACCCCAAAACTTTTGCGTCTTGAGTGTTTCCCTTGTAAATACGTTTTTTATTTACAAAAAACTCTTGTGTCTTAAGTCTTTCCCTCCAAAAATAAAATATTTTCAATATTTGTTTACGGAAATAAAAAAATATCTTTTTTGGTAACCCAAAAATATTCCATGACCAAAGTGGTTGTAGCTTAACTCTTCTGGATTTCCTTAAAACTACAACATTTTCCTAAGCCTTTTCCTTTTTTCATTTGAAGGCAACTTACCATTTTTCTTTATTTGTTTTTAATCCGTATTTGTAATCCATTTGTGGTAATCCATTTGGCTTTAACAGGTTAATCCATGTAAGTGATACGTGCGATGCTAAATGCGTTTTGTTAAACTGCTTTTGGGGATTTGTGGTGTTATTATTGTTGCTGATGTTGTTTAAACACTGTTCTAACACTTTCCTTATTTCTCTTCTGATTTATTGAACTTTCTCAAGAGATTTATTTCCTCTTAAATTTTTATTTAAAATTTTTTTGATTTTTATTTTTGCCTTTTGTTAACAAATTATTATTCTTCGTAAAAATATATTTTTTCCAAGTTTTATTTGTGTGTTCCACCTGGGTGTACTTAGTCTCACTTTTCCTTAATTTTTTTGGTTATAAATAATTAAATTTTTGCTATATTTAACTTTTTTTTACATTCTTTTGTCAACACTTTTCTTTATGGATTTTTCTCCGTGTTTTTTTTTCCTTCAATTTTTATATTTCTTACAAAATATTTGTGTACCATGTGTATGTATGTGTTACTTGTGTAATAAATTTAGAATTTCTGTTTATTATTATTACTGAGATGATGAATTCTGTGTTGTTTTTTTTTTTTTGTTACGCTACCGTATGTGTCGATCGCGTTGTTGCTTACGGAAAACTGATTCACGGATGAGTCGTGTTTCAACTTCAATGTCGAGCCGTGTTATGAGGAGACTTCTGAAAGTATTTAGGCAGCAACTCATGGTTAGACTTTTTCTTCTTACCCACAACACGCACACACACTCAGGCATTTGCCAGAGAACAAACTGGGACTCTTCTTCTTAGCACACACACACACACTCACACCATTACGTGAGGAGAAAGAAAACCCACTGTCTCTTTTGCCACAACAAGCAGCAGGCTGCTACCACAGATTTCAGTTCAGGTGTTGGTTGTTCTAAGCTGACGTTTGTGTTCTGCTACGCTCGCTCTAAGCCACACTCATCACTTGTTGTATTTGAAGAACAACAGCAACAACACATAATAATAACAACAATAATGGTGAATGGAGTGGTGGCTTTGTGTGAGCCTTTAATTTGTTCTAAGGCAAGGAAGAGAGAAAGAGAGTGAGTGGCAACTCTCAACATTCCCCCACACAAACTCGCACACACACTCACTCACCTGTACATTTTTACATTCCACTGCTGCCAAGAACACTTCTAATGTTCATCGGGGCTCTGCTCACTTTTGCCTCTGTGTGTTTTGTAAACATTAGCTCTTTTCACTCTCGTTTTGTAAAAACCTCTCTCTTTCTCTCAATTTCATTTAATGGCTTACTAATACTGCCAAATGCCTGCCTTCTTTTTCATTGCAAATTGTGTAATGCCATTCTAAACTCTTCCCCCACCATCCCGTTTAGACAAATAGACCACTCACTCTCCTACAGGTCTTCTTGCTCATTTGAAGAGTATTCAAATGATTCCTGGCAGAATATTCTAAAATGTGGGAATAGAAATGAATTCTGATTGGTTGCGGGATTGCGGACTAGTGTATCTGTGGCTGTGTGTGTGCGTGCGCCAAATTTATGGAATCTCTGATCTTTTGGCAGAGATTTTGTCAAGTGGTAAAATTTACATGAAAGAGTGGTTTCGCCATAGAACTTTACAAGCACATTGATGTGTAAAAAATGGATGAGGATCGTTAGTGGCTTATTACATTAATTTCAAATAAATTAAAGAAATTATAATTTATTGGAGACGGAAAATCAGGTTCTATTCTGGTTCTATTCTAGGGAACAGGGGAATAGAATACAAGATGGGATGAACATAGAATTGCTTTTTAATGGAATTCTGCTTGCCATTTGTGAGTCCATTCGGATTTGGCCAAAATTAACATTGGCAAAATATTTCTAAATTTAAACCCATTTTCAGATCTTTTATTCTCTTATTGAGTGGCCATTAATATGTATGAGATATGGAACCAGTACACACATGGAAAGCAAAAGCTGATGGCCGAAAAAGTAGATGTTATACCCATGTAATGTTACTCCCTTTGAACAGCAAGAAGAATTTTTGTCACATTATCCCAAGCAGTCTTTCCAACGAAATTTTCATAGAGGATCATATCACCTTAAAGCGAGAAAATGCAGAAATATTGGGATATGTAAAATATGAAGAGAACCGAATACTTATTTTGGATGTTATAATCGCTTTGGTTATTTAAAACTTTGACCCCTTGAGGGGAGGTACCAGAAGGAGTAGACCGATGTATCCCATCTTCACACCAGATCTTGTGTTAGTAGCAATAATGAGATGTGTGAAATATGTAGTGAACCGCATGCTTATTTTGGATTTTATAATCGCTTTGGTTACTTAAAACTATGACCTTTTGTGGGGGAGGTACCAGAATAGATGGTTCGATCTCTACCATCTTTATAACAGATCTTGTGCTGATAGAAGTATTGAGATGTGCCAAGTCTGAATGGAATCGGCTATTAATTTCGTGTTTTATGAGCTTCATGGATATTTAAAATTTTGACCCTTAGTGGGGGAGGTATCAGGGGGAGTGGACCGAGGTATCCCATCTTGACACTAGATCGCGGGTTAATACAAATATTGTGATGCGTGAAATTTGAAGACAAGCGGACTGTTATATTTCATTTTATAAGATTTACAATTATTCCAAATGTTGACCCTTTGTGGGGGAGGTACTTGATGTAGTGGACCCATATTGTCCATTTTCGCACCTGACCTAGAACTGATGCATATATTATGATTTGCAAAGTTGGAGCAATATCTGATTATCACTTCCCTTTCCGTGCATTGAAATATTTTTTTTAAAGTTTTTTTGAGGTACCAGAAGGAGTGAACCGATATTGCCCATTTCCGAACTCGATCTAAGTGAAACAAAAAGAAGGAAAGAGAAATGATATTCTACGTTATATTTCCATACATGATGCAATGTTTTGATGATTTTTTACTTGTACCATTGTTACCATTGTTCGTTTATATATCATCTGAGAATAATAATCCTATTCTCATTTGCTATTTGTTATATATAATTGCGGTATAAAATAAGTTATTACAGCAATTTTCATTTTTATCTTTCAGATTCCTAGTATTTCTTTTAAAAATAGGAATGTAACATGAATATATACTGCACAATGTATTTTGGGCTATTAATTCGGCTTTATGAAGAGGTAAGTCCTTTTTTCGATATTATCCCAATAATTAGTAATTATGTAATTTAAACATTATAATAATAATTATGAATGTTTTAATCATTATGCTATGCGACTAATATAAATTTATTCCACAATTACAGGCAAAACTCAGAAAATTATGACTTTCAAAAGTTTGCATCGAAAAGTTGCAAAAATAGCGGGGTTTAGTTCTCCCCTTTTTAACATTTTTTGAAATTTTCGAACTAAGATTCCTCCTGTATCCATGTATATAGTATCTTAGGCAATAGTACACATAAAAAATAACCAAAATAATCCTTGTAATTTGGGTTAAAAACTTCAAACCTCGAGCGAGTCACCAAAGAGGTTTAAAACTCTCTTTAAACCAGGGGTAGGCAACGAGTATCCTCTGGGGTGTCTGGGTGTTCACCAACACAATTGTAATAAATAAATTGTTTTGAATTTTCTCTCAAAATGGTTTTGGTAGAATATTTAGTTTTATTCGAAAAGTCCATAGGGAAGGTGCTGCTGGATATTTTTATGAATACACCGTTAGAAATATTGATGTACACACAATAAACTTCCTATATATTTTTGCTTTTCCCAAAAAAATAGTTTAATTTGATATTGAATGAGGAAGGTTCTAAATATCCTATTGTTTCACACATATCTATAAAAAAATTACTGCTTTTCGGTGGGCTACTTATTTATAATTCTTTAAACTATTATCTCAATACCTTAAATATTTTTTACGCCATTCGCGTTATCTTTTCTCTTCCAAAATAAATTTATAGTTTATTAAGTTGTGTAAATATCATAGCGGCTTTTTATCAAAATATGAATTTCTGCGAATAAAATTTTTCGAAGTTTCTTCAGAAAATATTCTTTAGAAATTCCACGTCCCGAAGACTTCAAAAAATATTCTTTAGAAAATCCACGTCCCGAAGACTTCAAAAAATATTCTTTAGATAATCCACGTCCCGAAGACTTCAAAAAATATTCTTTAGAAAATCCACGTCCCGAAGACTTCAAAAAATATTCTTTAGAAAATCCACGTCCCGAAGACTTCAAAAAATATTCTTTAGAAAATCCACGTCCCGAAGACTTCAAAAAATATTCTTTAGAAAATCCACGTCCCGAAGACTTCAAAAAATATTCTTTAGAAAATCCACGTCCCGAAGACTTCAAAAAATATTCTTTAGAAAATCCACGTCCCGAAGACTTCAAAAAATATTCTTTAGAAAATCCACGTCCCGAAGACTTCAAAAAATATTCTTTAGAAAATCCACGTCCCGAAGACTTCAAAAAATATTCTTTAGAAAATCCACGTCCCGAAGACTTCAAAAAATATTCTTTAGAAAATCCACGTCCCGAAGACTTCAAAAAATATTCTTTAGAAAATCCACGTTTCGAAGGCTCTTCAAAAAATAATCTTTAAAAAATCCACGTCTCGAAGGCTCTCCAAAAATACTCTTTAAAACATCCACGTTTCGAAGGCTCTTCAAAAAATATTCTTTAAAGAATCCACGGCTAATAGGCTCTTCAAGAAATATTCTTTAAAAATCCACGGCTAATAGGCTCTTCAAGAAATATTCTTTAAAAATCCACGGCTAATAGGCTCTCCAAGAAATATTCTTTAAAAATCCACGGCTAATAGGCTCTTCAAGAAATATTCTTTAAAAATCCACAGCTAATAGGCTCTCCAAGATATATTCTTTAAAAATCCACGGCTAATAGGCTCTCCAAGAAATATTCTTTAAAAATCCACGGCTAATAGGCTCTTCAAGAAATATCCACGGCTAACAGGCTCCCCCAAAAATATTCTTTAAAAAATCCACGTCTAGAAGGCTCTTAAAAAATATTCTTTAAAAAATCCACGTCTAGAAGGCTCTAAAAAAATATTCTTAAAAAAATCGACGTCTAAAAGGCTCTTCAGAAAATATTCTTTAGAAAATCCGTCTAGAAGGCTCTTCAAAATACATTTTTTTTAAAAAATCCACGTCTAGAAGGCTCTTCAAAAAAATTTTTTTAAAAAATCCACTTTCCAAAGACTTCAAAATTCTTCAAAAAATAGTTTTTAAAAAATCCACGTCCCAAAGACTTTTCAGAAAATATTCTTTAAAAAATCCACATTTCAAAGGCTCTTAAAAAAATATTCTTTAAAGAATCCACGTACGGAAAACTCTTCAAAAATACTCTTTAAAAATCCACATCTAGAAGGCTCTTCAAAAAATATTTTTTAAAAAATCCACGTTCCGAAGACTCTTCAAAAAATAATCTTTATAAAATCCCTGTCTCGAAGCCTCTTCAAACAATAGTCTTTAAAAAATCCACGTCCCGAAGACTCTTCAAAAATGTTCTTTAAAAAATCCACGTCCCGAAGACTTTTTAAAAAATCTACGTCTTGAAGTATCTTCAACAAATATTTTTTAAAAAATCCACGTATCGAAGTCTTTTTAGAAAATATTCGTATAAAAAATTCACAAAATTCAATTCTCACTGTGTATAGAGAGGTTAAGAGCCACTTTCAATATTTTTTATTTTAAAACACATACAATCACAAAATAATTTG